GTCACTAGGCTCAAGGTTAACAGCAAAGTATATTCCATTTTTACATTTTACTGGAATTTTACATGTTCAATTCATAATTTAAAAACCTCTAGGTTTTCTTTCCTCCAAACTGTCTGTGGACACAGTGTGCCACAGACTTAAGACTTCTGTTTCTCCCTCTGTTTTCTTCAAACAGAAACACTTGTCAAGTGTCTACATATTCTAGAAAGGGAATTTTTTCGAAGTTGGCCACTTTTTCGGAATAGTCTGACATTGTCAGGCGTCTGAAGCAAGGTGGGGGGGGAGAGTAAAAGCCGAAACACAAGGTTCATCTGGTAAGTTTTATGTTAAGCATTACAAGCTGGGCAATATGAGTATGTGGCTTTTTTGCCTCAAAACGTCTGAGTCTTGGTGCTGAAACGAGTACTTGGCTGTCCCACTATAGCATTCTTGCAGTGGGATTGTCAAGGAAGTCTTGACTGGGAAGTATGTTTTGTTTATCTATCAGGCGTAAATTTCCGGGTGCTCAGTTCATTTTGGGCTTGTTCCAGTTTGTCTTTAGTCTGTTCCAGTTCACCTTTCATTTTTAGGAAAAAAACAAGCTGATTGCTGGGTCCACCATCGTTGATCTCAGTTGGGCAACACTAGGCTGCTGAACTTGTTTGAGATCCTGTATTTGAGTAGTACACTCCTGCATCTCTTGTTTCTTGGTTGCCAGACTCATCACAAGAATATTTTCTCTACTTGAGGACCCTTGCTGTTGCTGCTTTAGCTTTTCTTCAGACTCTCTCAAGCCAGTTACATCAGAGTTTAAGTCTGTGTACTTGCCCTCCAAATCTTGTACATATGCTTCAAACTGCTTCCATTTTAGGATTAATTCATCTCTTGCCATAACTTTGAAGTCTGTTTCACTGAGTCGAACCTTTTTGGGGAGAGGTTCTTCGTTCGTCACTTTGTTTTCCGGAGGTCTAGGCTGCCGACGAGTCGCCTTTGCTTCCAGCTGGAGCCCGCGGCGGCTACACGAGGGCGCACCCCCCCCCCCACCCCGCCACCTCCCCACCCCACCCCTCCTCCGCCACTGAGCCAGAGCTGAAGAGCCTGAAGCACCGCCCAGCCAGCCCAGTCTGAAAACCCTTTTTCTAATTCTGACGTGTTTTCTTGAATGATCTCCTGGATGATAGTGTCCAGATTCCTTTGTTGGGGTTGACTATAATCCTGAGTTTGCTCCATCATCACCTATCCTGTAAGTTGTTACTTGGCATTGTAGTTTTTTCAATATTTTTGAATAATTGATTCATTTTCCCAGCATGTTCTCCCATTTGGGTATTACTATAGATAGTTATATGTTCCCTTGTAGCAACCCAGTTGCTTCTATGGAACAACAACACTTCTATAAATTCCTTTGCTTTTGAGATGTTCATACCAATTTTTGGGGGGGGGCTTAATGACATATGCATCATTTATTCATTTGATGTTGTTTCTTACTACATTTTATGTCGTTAGATATTGTTTTTCCATTTAGCATTTGCTTCTGACATTCTAGCCTTTTTTCAGCTATATCTTTGCATGTTTTTGTTTTTGTTTTTTTGTTTTTGGTATGCATTACTCATATTCTATTTTGTTTAACTTATGTCCCTCTATGTGGCTTTTTAGCATTTTTTTTCTTTTCTTGTGGTGTTGCTTTTGCTGGTTTTTTGAGAGATATCAAATGAGCCTGACCCTCTTCAAAATTCTTGTTCTACCCTCTTGACTGAAAAGCCTCAGGAGTTTAAGCATCACAAGTATCTCTTACACTTCTTCTGACAGAGTTTCTCTTATTTTTATGAACCAAAATCACTACTAGCACCACCATCATCACTAACATGTGTATAACTCTTTAAGGTTTCCAAAATGTTTTACAAAAATTATCTTATTTTATTCTTATAAAAATCTTGGAAGGAAAGTGCTGTTAATATCCCCATTTTGTAAGTGACTTATCCAAGGTCACACAGCTAGTAGCAAAAGTTTAGTACTCTAACTATTGTGTGACTTTGCTGCTTTACAAATACATATATGCATGAAACTGTCTAATATGTAAACAAACTGAACAGTCATTTGAGATAAGCAATGCCAATCATCAGTGTTTCTTTATGTGACATGCATGATGACTAAAGAGAAAGAAGATGACTATACTAGTTTGATCAATATATGTCAACACCTCAATTGACAAATAATATTTGTAAGCACCCAATCATTTATAAAGCACTGTAACAGATGCTATGGAAATAATATGAAGTAAAAGTTATAGCTCCTATAATTATAAGCTATTCAGAGAGATAAGACATACACATATAGGTAAAAAAAATAAACATATCAAAATGTTTGTCAGTAGGGAATCCAAACAAAAGAGGTATAGTGTCCCACAACAGCCTAGCTTACAGATGCTATCTATGCCAGTGTTTGCCCTCTTCTAAGGTCCCAGAATACCCAGGTTTTAATTGATCCCTGTGCTCCAGGCTTGTTGAGTGTTAAGGATAAGGCCCCAAAGGGATGACAAGTAAATTTAAGCCCTAATGTATGTGGGAAATGCTTTAGTTCTTGGAATTTGAGAAGTACTCCATGTGAAGAGGTAAGGGTACTGTCATATCTGTACTATCCTCTTCCTGAATGATTAACTGAAAAGAGAGAAACATTTAAAGTCCTTGACCAGAAAGTTGAGTTTTACAAGATTCTTACATTTTCACCTCTTTGCTGCCTGACAGGAAATCTTGGACGAACAAGTGTATTGCCTTTCAGTCTCAGTCAGTCATGCCTAAGGCTGTTAGTAATCTAAGTGCAAAAATTTTGCCCACTCCTTATTCTCCTCCCTGGCATTCTCTTATCCCACCACTCCATCCTTTTTTTCTCTCCTTTTGTAGCTTTCTCACATTCACTTAAAGAAGTTTGGATCTTGGGAAGTGAGACTGCTAGTGTTCAGAGGCCTCATTCTCATTGTTGGAAAGTCTAAAACTGCAAAAGATGGCAGGATTAATTGACTGCCAAAAAGTCACCCTGGGGAGGAAAACAATTGTCCCCAAACTTTGGGCACTGAGCAACCTGAACCTGTTTATAGAGATAAAGAGGTGAGACTCAAATAAGGAGTTGCAATATTTTGGCAAGATATGCTTAATTTACCTTTCTCTGTGGCAATTTGCCTAATTAATGACAAACTTTGGTTGCATATCAAAAATGCATTTGGTATTTTGGGGGCTCCTATCTTTGATTTTTACCTGTAAGATGAGAGAGCTTGAGATAGAGAGGAATCTGTGTCTCTTCTCTATAAGAGTGTTACATTTCACATTAGGTGAGGAGCAGGACAGTTGAAAAAAATCTGAGATCTAATAATAATGCTGGGATGAGACCTTAACTATTTGTAAAATACAAAGGATGAGGGTTCTCTTTCTGGACCTCAACTTAACTTGTCTCAAATTGAATTATTCTAATTTTTGAGGTTATGGGTTTACTTTCAAATTTCATCATTTGGATTTCTTGTTCATTTTTCTTCTTGGTTAGGGAAGATGAAGGGAAAGGACGGCATGGGAAAAGAAGGAAGGGAAGAGGGGGAAAGAGATGGGGAGCAGAACAGAATCAGTTGGTTCAACGATTACCTATGAAGGTAGAAAGAGAATCCACAGCCCAACATGCACTTAGGAGGTTTTTGTGATTTAAGAGACACTTTGGGATTTTAGAATGAACAAGTCAGCTAACATGGTAGTTGATCTCAATGATAGTGGTTGAACACCCAAGGGTGTTCTGGAATGAAATATATTGTTCTTTTCTGGTGCCTTGAAGGAATTTGAAGTACTAGGACAAAATGAAATTAAGATAGGCCAAATGAGGCCCAGGAAACTGTAGCTAGATAAAGTATTATATGAATTAAGTGTCAAGTACTCAAGACTTGCTAGTTTTCTTTTATTCTCACTTCCAGTTACTTTATCTTGAATTTGTATATCTCTAAGTTGCAGAAATTCATTCTTGTAGGTTTATATGTGTGTAGACAAGGAATAAAATGGAAAAGGGAAGATATCAGCTTTGAGTGAAAAGTTATGGTGGAAGAAGGAAAAGAAGAAGAAGGTGAAAGTAATTAGGGATTGAGTGGAACAGACCTCTCAATCCAAGTAGTAGTTAGCTTCAGGTGGCAAGAAAATTGGGGAAGTGCAATGCTTTAGATTGGGGTTTAAGTGATGACAGAAATTTAGGAATAATTGAAAAGTGAAAGCCTTGAATTAAAATGTTTCCATGAACTGTCTAGTTCTTGGGAGTGGCTAGAATTCCAAAGGTTCCCAAGAATTTACTGGTTCTTGAAAGTGGCTGGAACACTTGGGTAACCAACTTGAATGAGCAAAGATTAAAACCAAGGCTGGATCCTTTCTTAGGTTGTTGGGCATCAAATCTTTGTTTTCCCACTTTGTTCTAGTGAGGAAGAATTTGACATAATGCTGTTGGCTTGGTTGTATGGAGGTTTTCAAATCTTGACAATTCTACTTCCTCAATATCTTTCAAATATACTTCCTTCTTTCTACCCATCCTACTAGTATTATGGTTTTGAGCTACATTTCCTCTAACTTGGACTATATTAATAGCTTCTTGGTTGGTTTACCGGCTGCCTATTTCTATATTCTCTACTCCATCTACCACACAGATGCCAAAATAGCCTTTCTAAGGCGCAGGCCTCACTATGTTTCTTCCTAGATCCAAAAATTCCAGTGATTCCTAATGGCCTCTAGTATAAAATGAAGCTGCCTCAGCCTGGTATTTAAAGTCTCCCACAATCTGGCTCCAGCCTACCTTCTTTCTGTCTCATTCTCCATGGATATCTGTGTCAGAGGAAATCATGGACCCTTAGTACTTGGTCCTCAGAAATTGTGGGACCCTGTAACTTCTAGGGCAATTTGAAGCATTTCTTTCTGTTGGCTTCAAAAGTTACATATTTTTAAAAAGAAAATATTAAATTAAATTATACATTTCCTTTACAGATAGGTAAGAACTGACTTTGCATGGAAATGAAGAACTACACAGTTGTGACCGAGTTCATCCTGCTGGGAATCCCTGAAACAGAGGGGTTGGAGACAGTGCTCTTTGTTCTCTTCTTATCTCTGTACCTATGCACACTGTCAGGGAATGTGGTCATCCTCACAGCCATCATTTCTTCCTCTCGTCTTCATACTCCTATGTATTTCTTCCTGGGAAACCTGTCTGTATTTGACATGAGTTTCTCCTCAGTTACCTCACCCAAAATGTTGTTCTATCTTTCTGGTCAGACACCAGCCATCTCTTTCCAAGGGTGTGCAGCCCAATTGTTCTTCTACCATTTCCTTGGCTCCACTGAGTGCTTCCTATACACCGTAATGGCATATGATCGCTTTGTTGCCATCTGTCACCCTCTACACTACACAGTTATTATGAATCATAGGGTGTGCTCTATCCTAGCAACAAG